CAGTCCACACTTGGGAAAAGGCAGATTGATAACATCTATTCTATGAATACCTAAATACTCAGGCTAGCAAGATGAAGCCTGGGTCCACTGTTAGAGCACTGAGGAGCCAGAGAGTGCTTTATGGCAATGAAATCCGACCTGGGGTCATCATAATCCAAGGAGGAAAAATTCAAGAGATCCTCACTGATTCTGACCCAGGCTTAGGAGCACCATATGAGGTAAGAACAGCTCCCTCTGTACTGTACAATGTCCAGCAAACTCCACCTGCTGGAAAGAATCTGTAAGAAGTCAAATCAATAAGAAATGTGTGGCTACTTTTTCGAATCAGGGGGAGAAGAGGTCAAATCAGAATGGCAAGCAGGATCTAAGGAATTCTCTCCCATTCCCAGTCCCTGTGTAATACAAACTGTAAGACAGACTGTTTTGTACTTCTTGGAATAAGTGTAAGGAGGACCTTAAAAAACAGAGAAGAAAAACATGTACTCTTAATGTATAAAAATGGATAGTGGACACATGGGAAGTTTTCTTTTTAACTCTGGGCATCCACTAGGGGGCACAACTTTCTACAGCACTGCATTAATAGACAGGACCAAGGCAAAGGTGAAAGCCCATACTAGAAAGTCCCAGACTAACCTAATGCAGGTTAAGTGTCTGTTCTGCCAGCTATGTTAGATGTTAGCAGACATGAAGGAGGCAAACATGAGTCTTTGCGTGCTTGTTATGCTTTGTTGGCAGGTGCTGGACGTGGGTGAACGACTGGTGATGCCTGGGATTGTGGACTGTCACGTCCACGTGAACGAGCCCGGACGCACCACCTGGGAGGGCTTCTGGACAGCTACACGGGCAGCCGCAGCAGGGGGGGTGACAACCATTGTGGACATGCCTCTGTAAGGACAGACAGGTCTTCTGCGCCTCATTGACTGCAAGCTGAAACTGCACTTAATTTCCTTGTGCAATGTAGGACATGTATTCAGCTTCTTTGCACAGATTGAGACCATCATACTGTATTACATTTGGTAAATAATGGGTGGCTCACATGAAACAAATGAACAAAGGCAAAAAATGTCTGCGTGCTCTGAGGATGTGTGAGGCACCATTTGTCAACATCTCCAAAAATGTGTGCTATTAACTAGTTTGTGTGACTATAAATGTCAGACCTTGTTTTGGACTTAAATTCTCCTTTTATTTAACTTTTCTCATAAATAAAAACACTTTTATATCAACGTATAATATTAACATCCAGTTGTAACTTTGCAGACTCAACACTGCCCTGCCTTTCAGGAACTTAGTGAAGATCCTTGGTAAACCCCTCATTAAAAAGTCAAAGATCTGCTGCCAGTTTTTGGTTTCTTAAGTCTGCCACTAAGGTTATTGATATGACAATATAACCGATTTGTTTTGAAAATAGAAAATGTAAACAATGGATTAAATCAAAGGGCGCTTTGTGTTATGTAGGGCTGTTATTCCAAATTTCCATCCTGGCCTTTACCAATCATGGCCTCCGAATAATCCCCATCTCCGAACTGGCTGTTCTCCTCCCCACTGATAGCTGGTGTGTGGTGAGCATTCTGGCGCGCTATGGCTGGCGTAGCATCATCCAGGTGGGGCTGCACATTGGTGGTGGTGGAGGGGAGTCCCCATTAGCTGTAATGTGCTTTGAGAGGAGGGTCTAGAAAAGAGCTATATAAGTGTAAGGAAATGTATTATTATTATTTGAGTTCAAAAAAGGATTATCTTGCTCCTTGTTCTTGCAGCAACAGTATCCCTCCCACCACCACTGTCAGGAACTTTCTGACCAAGGTGCAGGCTGCAAGGGGACAATGTTTTGTGGACACAGCATTCTGGGGAGGGGTGGTCCCTGGCAACCAGGTAAGGAACTGGGACTTTCACTCAAATCAGTGCCTGTACTCTAATCTCCCCACATTCTCTCGTGTAATCCCGAAAAAAATCCTCGCCAATCCCCTGTCCAGGTTTAGAAATGCACTTCAGGATTGACACATTTCCAGTTTAGCAGCATTTATCTAATTGTGCTGATCCACTGTGAGCCTCTGGCACTACGGTGGTTTAGAGGAGTATTTGGTCATTTGTTAAATATTGTAACCTCAACCATAAATAACTTCAGAGTTAATTGATTCAGTATATTCTGCAGGTAATCTGCTTTATCTTTCCCGGTCATGGTCTCTTGTTTAGATGTGGAAATATGTTAAACATCATTTAGATTGACTGACCTGTGATATTGAAGAGAGCGAAAATAAAGACATGGCGGTTAATTGTGTGTTCATGTGTTTGCTTCCGCAGTCTGAGATTCGCCCTCTTATCCAGGCAGGGGTACTTGGGTTCAAGTGCTTTCTTATCCACAGTGGGGTGGAGGAGTTTCCGCATGTGACCGACAGTGACCTTCATACTGCCATGACCCAGTTACAAGGCACAGACAGTGTCCTGCTGGTAAAAGCCAATTCAATTTGCATCTCTGGTCAAATAAATAAAATCCATCCAACGTGTGGCTTAACATGAAAGCGGTTCTGAACCAAGTTCCAGAAAGCCACCTTGAGAAAATACATGCTTATTTCACTTCACTGATACAGTAAGAGCAATGCAGAATCATCATCAATTATAATCAATTTCATTCTCCACACAGCACTCAGAGAAAGTGCAGAGATGCTCAGGTTAATAACTATCGCCATCTAACAACAGGAATTTTAGTTTAGCCCCTGAGCTCCATAAAACATAACGTCTGTTTCTGAGCCATTGCACCCCAAGGTGGCCCTCATTTCTCAAAGTTAAATTAAGTCATGCTCTGTGTACAGGAGGTGGAAAACTGTACCACTCCTTGGAAGTTACTTTAGGCTGAAGTGGCCAGGCTTGCTGGCTGTTGCCTTGTCTAACTGCCTTGTCCTGGCCCTTGCAGTTCCATGCTGAAACAGAGGTGGAGCAGCAAGTCGCAGAACAGGAAGGTGAGGGATGAACACAAAACAAGATGTACGGTAGTAATAAAATAGAAACAAACATAAAAATAACAGTATGGATCCTGAGATTCTCCCTTCCTTCCAGATGCTCCCTTCCACTGCTCTCTGTATCATTGTGCCAACCAGAAACAAGCAAGGCTTTCTTTACACACTGGCTCTTTCTACACTGAAATACAGTTAATTAAGTAATAGCCACTTAAGTTAAGTGTTTTTTTTATTTACTTCCTTATCTCCTCTACTGAAAAAAACAGAAGAAACCGTTCTCTACTGGACCTCTTCATGAGACTGTGCTTCCCAGTGATCTTTTTTATTGCATCCATCTTAACTGCAATCTGTGGTTTCTCAAACAAGACATTGAATGAATTAAAGCTGTCGCAATGTCCAGACACACACCCAGTGAAGTTGGCCCCTTATTAGCCATCTGATGGCCAGGACGATCAGTAACAATCAAGTGAATGTGAACAGCAGCAGTTTCTTGTAACCCTAACACCCTAAATTGGCTGACTGACAAAGAAAGAATCAGTATACTGGCAAACAATCCAAGAGCACTCATCTCATCTTAGGACCAATCAATTTGCATTTTACAAACAAACATGCCTGTACTGAGAGTCTCACAATGATTGGTCTATTTTAGCAGTCTAGGCACATCTGTACTATAATTGATTCAATTCAAGGTGCTTGTAATACCTCAACATCGTGTACAGACCTCTGGCTGCTGCTTGCTTAGTAAGGTACAGTAAAATGGTCAAATTAGGCAAAAGGATAAATAGTTTTTGACATGTCCATGTATCTGTTGCAGATCCCTGTGAATATTCCTCCTTCCTCAAGTCTCGTCCTGACACCATGGAGCTGGAGGCCATTCAAACAGTCACTCAGCTCTGTCTGCAGTACCAGTAAGAGAAGATTAGACTGCATTTTTCAAGCTAGCTGAATAGCAGCTATCTTTCTATCTTTTATCTAACTGGAAACATGCATCCAAGTCACGCAGCACAGTTAACTGTTAGGCTGCTCTACCCATTTCCAGGGTAAGATGCCACATTGTCCACCTGTCTTCTGCCCAGGCACTGGAGACCATACATGCTGCCCGGCAGGCAGGTGCCCCTCTGACTGTGGAGACCACCCACCACTACCTGACCCTCTCTGCAGAGCACATCCCCCCGGGTGCCACACAGTTCAAATGCTGCCCACCCATCCGAGCACAGGCCAATCAGGTGACAGCTACAAAACACTCACAGGAAGAAAGATTAGCCATTGCCAAGCAGAATGTGTTTTTTTACTGAACTAATGAATCAATATAATCAATATCAAAAACGGGTACTTGTTATATTGTTTTTCTTTCAAGAAGAACAAACTGGAATGTCTAAACCTGAACGTATCTCTGATCTGCGACGGTGATATGGAGCTTATCTTAAACCAGAGGCGTCCAGCCCTGGTCTTAGGGAGGCCTGGAGTATCTACAAGTTTTTATAGTCACTTTAAACAGCAGCAGGACAAGTTGACCCTGAAGAGAGGTCCAGTTAAGCTAGTTGAATCAGCTTCTTTAGCTTGATAAGAGCTGGGGTAGAATGAGATCCTGTATCCACACCACTCCACCAAGATTGGACACACCTGTAGATGTAGCCTTTCTCATTTCGGATTGCAGTCTTGCAATCGTTTTCCTTAATTTAAGTTATTTCTATTTCAAAGAAATCAGGATTGTTTATGGCCCTACAGATCCACAACAATGTAGCTGTGTCCTCTACAGCACATGAAGCAGAGGTAGGGTGGCAGATGAGAACTTAGAATATATGTGTTCTTCCATCTCCAGGACAGGCTGTGGTCAGCTCTGAAAGCTGGGCAAATTGACATGGTGGTCTCAGATCACTCACCCTGCACCGCAGAACTGAAGAGAGTGGACACTGGCAACTTCACACAAGCCTGGGGTGGCATCTCCTCTCTACAGTTTGGTACAGTAGCATGCTCTCAATTAATTATTCAACCCTGAAAGCTCCCAAGAATTCACACGTACTTTAGTCCTGGACTCCACTAAATCAACAATTCCTAAACATTTGGAACGATTTCATGTAAATTTCACTTAATTTAACAGATGGTCTTTTTAAAATAAGTACTTTTTAGATCATTTGGTAGCATGCTCTGAGTACCCTTCAGCTGTAAAAGAATTCCCAAAATCTGCAAACAGAGGTCCCATGAAATGAACTGGGGTAGTATTTTCTGGGACCAGGGATAGAGAACCATGCGATACTGTACACAAACACTCAGACATGACACTAACCTAACCCTGATGTTAGGAATTCAAATTTTATCCATACACTGCAGGAGTAATTGTTATTTAAATATTTCTGGAGAGTTTTGAAGTGGACCTTGCAGCATCTTCATTAACAGTTTGATTCAATGTAATTAATATTTTAAGGACCATTAAGAGATACTATCATATACAGTACAGAATATTGCCAAAATTGTTTACAATACTTCAGCTCTTACAAAAAATTACCAATTTTACTTGGGCCTCTCTGAGAAAGTGGAGAGTTAATTAAGAAAGTGCCGTTATGTGGCAAACATCACCCTTTATTAAATATTTCACCTATTATAAAGGTGAAATATTCTTCATTTCAGAATCTAAATGCCTTTGAACTTTCACCTTAACTACAGTCCAAAGGCCACACTGGAGTAAATAACACTGAACTACTCATTTACAAGATGGGGTAATTATTGACCGCAAAATAACAGAGGTTGAAGGACCTGTCCAAAGTCCCATGGCTGAGATTGGTGACAATATGGGAACACGAGTTTTGTTAAAATGATCAAACTGTCTGGTGAGCAATGTTTTGTACAGTTTCTTTGATCAAGTAGTGATCAAAGACTTTTTTCTAGCAAAAAACTGTTCCGTTATCCCTAGTAGTTGTAAATAAGCTGAATATCATTAGCAATTCAATAATATTTGTATATATATATTGTTTAATATTTTTAAGCTATAAAATGTATCATATCTCTTAAATATATGTTAAATAAAAATAGTAATTTTGTACCTGTCGCTCATTAACCTTTTGATTTTCTATAAAGACATTTCATCGAGTCTGTTTTCCTACCCCTGGGATTAAAGCAGCAGCCAGATGCAGTTACCATTCAGACAAGAAAGTAAACCAATCAATTTACTTAACTCAGCACAGTCAATAAGATAGTGTTGTCTCAGGCTCTTTGTTGGTCTGGAGGTATCTGTTAGCATTCTCACAGGCTTTTACAGTACATTTTGAGAATGTTGCTTTAATGTCTATAAGGCCATCTCACTTTTGCGCTAACATGAAATACAGGAATTCCAAGTCTCATTTCCTGTCATTTGTTTTCTGCTTCTGCTGTGATTTTGTTCTCAGGTCTCTCTCTGTTCTGGACAACAGCCAGTCAGAAGGGGTTTTCAGTGCCGGAAATGGTGAAGATTCTGTGTCAGAAACCCGCTGAGCTCTGTCACCTTGACAGACAAAAGGGTTTTCTCCTCCCAGGACATGATGCTGACCTGGTCGTATGGGACCCAGATATGGAATTTGAGGCAAGAGTCCAAGAAATTCACTTTTCAAATAGAAACTGTATATGTGGAAAGTACGTAGGAGTACATGCAAAAAGCTGCCCACAAACTATGCTGTTTGCTCTCTTTCTGTCACCTTACAGCTACCCATGACCCTCACAAAGCCATCTCATTCAAGTAAATCAGCCTCCAAAGACAGGCCATTTCTTCCTGGGCCCCAGTGCATCTCCTGACAGGTCCTGGAGGACTGGAGGATTAGTGGAACTCTAGTTCTCAGCCTTTAACCCTTTAATTGCCATAAGTTTAGTTTTTGTGTAATAACTCTGCTATTATATAAAATATTGTAGACCACTAGTCACATCTGCTCTTTGGAAGATGGCCACCTAGATTCTGCAGTCTAATGTCACTGCCTGCTCACTTCCCTTCCTCTTCACTGAAGCCCATATTCATAGTTCAGAGACAGAATAATGGTGGGAAGTCCTAGATCTCTATAAAGGGTTAAGTGCTTTTTATTTTGCTTTCCTCATGAACCCCTGGCCCTGATATCTGTGTTAAACTCAAAATGGATATGGGTGGATTTTGTTAGCCCATTTTAGAATTTTGAAGCCCTCGTGTAAAACGTCCTAAAGTCTTTTTTTCTATTCCAGGATAAGGAGGTCATTTCTGTTTCTTTTGTTGGAATTCATGTGTTTTTTACCCTTAGTTTTATTAACAGTCATTTTTATATGACAGGTGACTGAGGCATGCGTACACCACAAAAACAAGGTCAGTTGCCTTTCTGTCAAGAGAGAATTTGCCTTAGTTTTCAAATATGTAGCAAATAACTTTGAAATTAAAAGGACATTTTATTTTTCATCTAGCTAGATATCTAGGGTAATATTCAGAAATAAACTTACTGTGCTTGGAGGTGGAAAATAAATAAATAAAACCTAAAAAATAGGATTTAAGTTTTGAAGTGTATAGTTTTTAAGAACAAATGATGTCTCTTTGAGGGAAGGACAAGGTGAAGAAGTCATTTACTCAAGAGGTAGATGATTCAGACAGATTTCAATGTAAAGTCTTATCATTGTAGCTGCAATATAATATACAGTATACAGTATATTTATCATTTCAGAAGAACACGGTTACTAGGGAAACCTTGTCTGTGTAATATTCTGTATAAGGCACCCTGTTGAAACTGATAAAGAAAACTACAGTTATGTTATTTATCATTATCAAACTATATTATCAATATACTTTTTAAAATCCCAAGGTTAAATTACACCTTCTTCTCCAATGTTACAAATTTTATCTAAAAAAAACACAATTTTTTTGTTTTCACAAACTTCTGCAGAGCCTGCCTAATACAATCTGAAAAGGAAAGTTAAACTAATTCAGAAACAATAGGTTTTCAGCAGCAGTCATCATGTGATAGTTGTTGCTACAGTTTGTCAAGGGCAATCTGCTCAACAGCACTTTTCACAGGTCCAGACAATAGGAAAGCTAAATAGACAACAGTTAATGTTACATGTAGTCTTCAATATAGGAGAAAAAAAGAACATTGTTCAAGAAGAGGACAATCAAGTTGATTCAAACAGATCAGCCATGTAGATTGTGCAAGGCTGTGGTTACTAAAGCATAATGAGACATGTGATGCTTGGTATGTTACAGTTGTCACCATACCTGGGATTCAGGCTCCGTGGACAGGTGTTTGCTACGATTGTCAGAGGGAAGATCGTGTACAAGAAGGGTGCCTTCACCCCACACCCTTTTGGACAAATACTTCTTTCAAACAAGGCACAAACGCTGGAGGCATGATTAAAATGGAAGAATCGTTTTTTTGTTGGGTAGAGCTCTTTGCCCCACAATTATCCACTTCTGAAGCCCAATGCTCTGATTACATGAATAGGTATTATTTTTCTGGGTTTAGTAAAGTCACATCTTTACCAACAGACTACTTAAATACATAATTACTGTAGAATGTAATTCCTTAATTGTGTTTTATTGTGAAATAAATTCAAGATTCTTAATAAACCAAACAAAAATGCCTTGTTCTGCCTGATGTTTTTTTTCTAATATTCTTTATTTACTTCTATATACAACACCACACTCATTGGATTTAGAGTGGACATGCAGCACCTCCAAGGCTAGGGCTGACCTGCCTAGACTACAGTATGTACAGTCTGAACTTTCTGGGGCTAGAAATCAACTGCTAGTTGTCACTCCTTTTCTGGGAATGCAACAGGATACCTCTCTCATCCTTCTCTCCCTGCTCATGCTTTGTGGTCTTTATTGGCACAGGTGTCACACACAGTGCTTTTGTAACTATTCCCTTTAACGAAAATGGGCTAAGTTAATTAGAAGCGATTTGAGTAAGCTTTACAACTCCCTGACAGCATGATCTATCTTGTTAAGACTAGACAATGTAAAAACACTTGTTTGCTTATCTAACTTGGATAGGTTACACTTAAGATGGAGAGCTATGTTATCAGCTCTGAAGCAATGCAGGCTCCACTACTGAAAGCAATCTTCATCATGAACTAAAAGTACAGAGTGACCCACACAGTGTAACCAAGAGTTTCAGAGAGGTTATCGGATGGATACTTAGGGCCGTATTGCGTCATACCTGGAGCAACAGGTAGCACAGCACAAAACCATCTATATGTAGTCGCGTAGGATGGATTGGCTTTTAACCTCACTTTGTTAACTGAAACAGCTATGAATTAACAGAATTATCTACCATGAGAAGTTAATTGTAAAGTCTACTTGGTTGAAATTTCTGGCACCAACTGACTTCTAGTTTTTACTCAGCTTATCTGTGAACAACTTTATTTCCAAAAACCAAAAAAGCTTTGAAGTTCAATTCTATTCAGATATGTCTTATGGGCTAAACATCTTATTCTCTGCATTTCTTTATTTACATTAATCTCTCTTTGAAGAGTTTTATCAAACTCAGGATGATGACACTCAGTAAACTCTCCTCCCCACTGGGGGAAAAAAAATCATCCTTGAACTTTTTGTAGAAAGATTATATTGGTTATGTCAGCACAGAATATTGCTTTTTGTCATTTTTAGAATTCTGTCAAAAGGAGTATCTTGCTTGACGTTGTTCTGCATTTGCATCTTACACTGAGGTTGTCCATTTTTAATTAACTTTCCATACTTTCCCACTTTCCATGAGTATCACCATTATTCATGTTTTTCCCCTTTCAATTTTTATTTCTGTAGCAAGACAATGTCTCTTGCACAGTCTAAAGATCTGTCTAGGTAACATCACTGGAAAAAACACACATCTCACTAAATGCAATAATGCTTAAAACAAACTGTTGCTTATCTTTAGGTGTGCAGTTCAAAAACTAAAATGGACCAGTCTGTTTAAATGCACAGACTTCCTATACAAACTGGCTTGGAGGACCTTTTCAAAACTTTCTGCAATGCATTCTTTACAATATAAAACCAGAATCCGTTCAAATTGTTTCCCAAACTAATGAAAAACAATTCTTTAGAAAACTGTCATGACATGGCATTCCACAGAATACGTGAGGGTTTATCTCTTTAAGGTCAAGTTTTTCATTTGTGTGATACTCATTAGAACATTTAAGAAACAAGCATAAAATAGACACTCAGCAGTTCTTTGGAATTTGAAGAAACAGGACATACCAGCCCCATGGTATAAGCCAATCAAAATAAGGATATGTATATCTGTGAGCCAATCACTTCACTGGGAGAGTGTAGACACCTCTTTTGATTGTTAGTAAAATGATCTCAGGTCAGGTAAATATACTGGGCAGAAAATCAATAAAACACTTCACCTCTCATACAAAACAGCAGGCCAAGACAGGACTTAACTCAAAGTAAAACTATGCTCTCTAACAAATTCACATAAATCAACTCATATTTCCTGCCACTGCTTAAACTGGGTAGAGTCACACCTTAAAAAATGTTTATGTTAGTTTTAAACCTTCAGATATATTTATTTACTGTAGTTCCATCTCCTAATACATTGTGCCATTGTTTTTTAAGCAGCAATTAGAAAATAATGGTGAAACTTTTTACTGGTCCAGCTGGAAATAAATTAACATTACAAATCTTTATCTCAACACTCTTCTTTGCAGCTGAGACTAACAAAAGGTAAAAAGGGATCACACATCACACAATGTAAAATATTGATTTGAGGATCACAGATTGAAGGGAAATAATACTTTTTGCTGCCCAAAATGATCTAAGGCAGTAGTAACCAACACTTTCCATACAAATGTCCGAAATTCCATTTAATCAGTGCTCTGAAATGTAAATAAATGAGTAACCCTTATCCTTGATTAGGTTTCATGTTGTTATTTTCAGCTGTGATAATGGTATAAATGTACAGGATACTGGATAGGAAGGGACAAAGCAATTTAGAATACTTTAACATCCCTATTTGAGTACCAACAACAACGTTTGAGCATTATCATGTGGTTTCATAGTTTTTAAAACTCTCTCTTGTAAGCATCCTTCTTCAGCTCTTCAGCATTGTCTCCTAAGTGTTGAACACAAAAAAATGCCACCTTCTGTCAGGAAACAAGGGTCAGACCTCCCCTACTACAGATGTTGTGTCTCACACAAATAATGTGGAGATATATATTAATGCTTAACGTCTGTCTAAAACCGTTAACCTTTATGAGATAAAGGGATTTTTCACAAATTACTTTTTAATTAAGGGTACAGTAGAGTGCTTAATTGATTGAGAATTTTGGTCTCGTTTCTAGAAAGTAGAGTTTGGGGGCAGCGAATCCCTTATGTTTAAAGAACCCCGCTGAGTAAATCTTTTTTAACCCCTTGGAGTCGGGATTTCTTTGTTTTGTCCTTTGTTTCTGTTTGTTTCTCTTGCAAATGAGCGTTTTCTTTGTCTCGCCTTCTTGTCTCGTGTAAAGTGACCCACCAGGATCAATGCGTCAGAGGTCAAGGACCTGTTTGTTTTAAATTTAACTGCAAAGCCCAAATTTTAGTACTCTCTCCGTCTCCCCTTCAGAAACCGCACTGCCCAAGGAGCCGGAGAGGCGAGGCCAGCGATGATGCAGAGGACTTTGTTTTGCAGAGGTGCGTTCCTGGCGCAGCAGGTTGCGCTGGAGAGCGCCTTACCCACCAGGGTTTCAGCAAGCCTGGTGCCCCGGTACAGGCGCACCATGTCGTCCCTCTCGGTACCTCCACCTGCCTGCTTGCTTCAGCCTCTCCAGGCACCCTACCGCTACATGTTTGGGCCGGGACCCTCCAACCTTCCCCCCAGAGTCCTGGCTGCCGGAGGTAGACCTATAATCGGTCACATGCACAAGGAAATGTTCGAGGTAAACGACTTTTAAAATACCTTCGCAACTAAGACGCTTATAAGAAATGCTCGTTATTATTATTATTATTATTATTTCATAAGGATTAATGGAAATATTACAGTTAACTTGTTACATTATATTGGTAGCTAAACGTAAATTGAAAGTTTCGAAAATTACGTAATACACCCAAGACTCAAGTCGCCTGTCTTGAGCTTTTCTTCAAAATATGAATGACATAAAGCAGGATTTCTCATTTTTTCACTGAATGAGCAACTCTAAGCCTAAAACAACACAAATGTTAATGAAGTTAACTGTAAATGATGATATAACAGGTGACAAAAAAAGGTTTTTGTATTACACTTTTCCACTTTTTTATTAGGTTGATGAAATATAGACTGTATAATATTTCGTTATTTAAAGTTCATGAAAGTGTATGATACTTAACATATTCAGAGTAAATCTTTCATGATCAATTTAGAAATACGCATTCAGCATAGTACTAAACTCACGAAGTGATATATATAATATTTAATATTTTATAGATTTAATAATGAACATAATAAAGTCGTTTTAAATTATTTTAAAATATTCCTTAACAACAGTAAAGTCATACAGTAATTATTATTACAAGTTCTACCGTAGTGTTCTCCCAATGACCGTGAAGTCATAAGCAGGAAACTTACTGTTTATAAAGAGTAATGCTCAACACCGCTGTATTTTGAGGGAATGTGTTTTCTGAGTTTTATTATTTCAAATCTAACTTATATTTGACACCTATATTTTAAAAATAGATATCTTTATATAACACTACTAACTGCGACACGACTGTGTTGCCCCAAATTTTGTAAAATACAGTAAACCCTTCTTAAACGGGACGGCGCATGGAGTGTGTTATTGCCGAATGTCTGTTAAATTAACGAATCAAGATTTTCATAACTAATATACATAATGCTTTCTGGATATTTTGACAATTGCAATCAACAAAGTCAATGAAAATTGTCCCTGTGCCTTTTTATCATAGATACACAATCTCTTTATTTCATGTAGTAAATATACTGTATAAAATTTGCTAGGAAACACAAATACCTATGAATTTATATTCATGCCAAATAGACCCATCTACAACTATATTGTACAAAATGTTATTCATTGCTTTATTATTTTTTTATTTGATGTGATTTATTACATATTTGTCTATTTGTGTAGTGTACATTACTGTAATTGTTTTTGTAAAAATGTGTCATTTGAAGCACACTCTTTTATTAAAATGGAGTCATACCCTGATGCAGTCAGTGGTCAGTACAGGTACTTTAACAACATTATTTTTTACATCTTATTTACATCTTATTGTTTTGTATTTCTTCCGTTTTCCTCTGTTTTTGAAAATAAACCAAGCCTGTTGTGTGGACCATCTTTGTCCATTATTGCAAATGGGATTGTAATATTGCAGGGAAAGGCCAGTATTTTTTATCTTGCAAACAAAATTCCTCTTTCGTGATTTTGTCTGTTAAATGTGAAGTCCGTTAAAGCGAAGATTTACTGTACCACAAAACCAAGCAGTGCTGTGCTGTGAAAAAATACACCATGTGATGATTTAAATTTTTCCTCCACTATGTCCAAACCTACCCCATAACGTCAGGGGCTCAGTTCTATGCTACAGTCCTGAGGTTTCACCCACAACCATGGATGAACAGTGTCCTGATGTTCCAGAGCTCTGACCCAGGTCTGCTGCTGCCCTGTGTGTTGCAGATCATGGATGAAATCAAGAAAGGTATCCAGTATGTCTTCCAGACACAGAATAAGCTGACCATGGCCATCAGCGGCTCTGGCCATGCGGCCATGGAAGCGGCCGTCTTCAACGTCGTGGAGCCTGGGGAGGCCGTCCTCATCGCCATCAATGGCATCTGGGGCGAGCGGGTGGCCGACATCGCCGAGAGAATCGGTATATCGCTCTTAAAACCCTGAGGAGCCCTCTGACTGGGGACAGCGGCGGCTTTTGAACAACACAATTGGGGGTTGTTGGTCACACACGACTACTAGACAATTATTTAAGCTAATATGACTTTTATGTTCCAAGCTCTGGATGTGTGTGTCTTTCTCAGGGCAAAAATACAGAACTTTTCCATTATAAGATCTCCTGACACACAGGCAGCATAATTGTGGGCTTTAACCCAGGTTTTAGGCATAACGGACATGGACAACTGTTTTGCATGACTGCATTGCCTGAGTGTACCTTGTCATTTTAGCTTCCAACCCTGGAAATTGCTTTCTTCCAACAACACAGGTGCAGACGTTAAGAGGATTGTGAAACATCCTGGGGAATGGTTCTCTCTTCCAGAAATTGAACAGGTGACATACTATTGAGCCTTTATAAAGGTCACGGGGCCAGTGTAGACTACATTAGTCACTCTTCATTAATCACGGGGATTCTGATATGTAATCAGATGAAAGAGAGACTCCAGCTTGAGTCAATATTTAGTTCAGACACTTCAAGAAGCTGCTGTGCTGAGTCCTAGCTTTGCATTATTTTAGTTCTCCTCACTTTCACCCTGCAGCATCCCCTTGCAGAGAGTCACATGATGGGTTAGGTCCACATACACTCTCTGCTTACACTGCCAGTTGCATTTGAGCAACAGCAGTCCCTGTTGTGTCGTCTTCAACTCTTGAATGAATAAATGGTAACTGTCCCCTAAGTGAGCCGTTCTATAGCTTTGAGCTGTTTGAGTGATCAATTGATCGGTTGTCCTCCTGCAGGCCTTGACACAGTACAAGCCCGTGCTCTTCTTCATCACTCATGGGGAGTCTTCCTCTGGATTGGTGCACCCCATGGATGGGATTGGCGACCTGTGTCACAAGTAAGTGTGTCTTCAGAATCTCAGACTTCCCGCACAAGAACCGTTGTGGCCTGCTGCTGAAACCTAGGCATTGTCCAAAGAAACAGGAACATGAGAAGAGTCTCAAACAGTCCACCAGAGGCTCGTCGATGTGATACCAATGAAAAGCAGACAGAATCCAACAAGGACGTTTACTTGGCAGACATTCTCATTTAAAGGGGAACTGCAGTCCCAATTTCTCAGACCGGATATTAAATCTTGGTAACAAAATAAATTAATTGACATTATAGAGCAGGGGTTGGCAAACTACAGCCCATGGGCCAAATCCGGCCTGCTGAACCTTTCTGAGTGGCCCGCAGCTCCCTGCTGTTTGAATCTCGTGGGTTACTTTTTGTATCAGATATAGAAAATCTTCCACCAGTGGCCTCTACTTGTGAGCTCTGCTGCTCTTTCTTCTGAGGTGCCGTTTAGGCCATTATTCAAACTTTACCTCTCATACACACACAAATTGCTCTCACATACACACACAATTACACTTACACTCTCCATTTTACCACCCACATACACACAAAACCCTCTCACATACACACACAATTACACTTACACTCTCCATTTTACCACCCACATACACACAAAACCCTCTCACACATTCACTAGTTTTACCTCGCACATATACATAAAACACTCCTTCACAATGTGAACATGATAGACAAAACTAGTGCATGTGAGTGCATATTATGTGTATGTGAGAGGTAAAATGAAGAGTGTGAGAGCATTTTATGTGTATGTGAGAGGTGAATTATGGCCCAATGTAGGCAGTCCGTCTAAAACAAAAGGATTTTTTAACACTTTCGCTTACTTAACTTGCACCCTACAAATATTTGTACTTTGTCAACGGTCAGATAACTACACCAACCCCGAATTCACCGGTACTACATCGGACTGTTTGATGTGCAGGAGGGCTATCCTTCCAGGAACGACACATATTACACTGCCTATGTTCTTGGGTGTCAACGGTATTACGATCCTGTGTGCTCAAGGTGGACCGATTCCTTGCAGTGGTTTATCCTTATACTTACAATCGTTATATAACTAGGACAGTAGTTATAGATGTTTTTGCTTTCTGTTGGTTTTACAACTATTTTTTCTTAACAATTCAGAACCTCGTTATCATGGATGTAGCTGCAAAAATGAACGCATGTGGTATTTTGTCGCTCCAGGCAATAATAATTGCGAGACTGGGACCCTGGTTGAAACCCTGGCAGCATGGTGCCAGGAGAATAACCTCTCTCTGAACATCAGTAAGACTAAGGAGATGATTGTGGATTATAGGAAACACCAGGGAGGAGATCACATACCTATTTATATCAATGGGACTGCAATGGAGAGGGTCAGCAGTTTATGTTCCTGGGAGTTAACATCACAGAGGACTTAACCTGGACCCACCACACCAACATCGTGGTCAAAACAGCATGGCAGGGCCTATTCTTGCTCCGCAGGCTAAAGAAGTTCAGCATGCCATCACATATCCAGGCCAGCTTCTACAGGTGCACTATTGAGAGCATCCTGACTGGCTGCATCACTGCCTGGTATGGGAACTGCTCCACCCGGGATCGCAAAGTACTGCAGAGGGTGGTGAAGTCAGCGCAGCTCATTAGTGGCTGTGAGCTACCAAACATCCAGGCTGTATACTCAGGGAGATGTCTTAGGAAAGCCAGGTCCATTCTCAAGAACCCCAGTCATCCCAGTCACAAACTTTTCTCTCTCCTACCGTCTGCTAAACGGTACCGAAGCATTCAAAGTCCAACAGATTACCGAACAGCTCCTACCTCCAGGCAGTAAGATTGCTAAATAGCCAGGCTGCAGTTCCTTCAGCAAATCACCTGTAATGGCTACATGGACACACAGTTTTCAGTGTATTTGGCATACTGCACTACTTTGACATAATATATTGCATGGACCATGGACACAAAGCAGCTCTATTTATATCGAGTTTTGTCTGAGTTTATCTTACTCAATTTCTATTGCATTATTATCTATTATTATGTAGCCTTATTTTGTAACCTTAATTTTGTGATTTTTATCCCCCCTGGTGAGCTCACAGAAAATACATTTTATTGCCAGCAAATACTGCTACATGCTGTGTGGTTGCTGCATTGATAGAAGAACGCTCATCTCAGGCGTCGTAGCTGATGACAAGCTATTGCTTCTGGTGTGGCTAAGATGTTATTAATTGGAGCTACAGCTTGGCTTAGTGCTTGCTGCGGTTGAGGTTGATTTCTTTCCTCCATCTTGGAGTGCAGCAGAAAGCTTGATTATACATTTTCTCAGCCAATCACATTGGGCCATTAAGACCCAAAACTAGTAAATGTGAGAGCATTTTGTGTGTATGCGAGAGCAATTTGCGTGTGCATGAGAGGTAAAGCTTGAATAATGGCCTAAACGGCACCTCATACTCTCTCAGCACTAACAGTCAATTTCAGAACAACACCTATTACACGATGCATTTCACTTCTCAGACCATCAGACATCAGCTTTAGCCTAGGTCACATACACCCGTGCTACAACGGATTCTTACCGTAAATTCATTTGGATTTTTGTTGCCTACTGTGATTGGCTCAGTCACGCAAACGACGTCTAGTGTATGCTATCTTGACTGACAAGAGACTAACTGTAAGTTATTCCTGCCATTTTGAAAAAAAGAAAGATCGATGCAGAGGGTAGAAAATTTCAACGACAAATGGTCAGAAGAGTACTTTCGTGTCCTTTGGAAAGAAAATGTAACGTGCTTTATCTGTCAGGAAACAATCGCCGTGATTAAAGAATTCAATATAAAAAAACGAGACAAAACATCAGGCTATGTTTTCAGAATACACAGGAGATGGACATATGGAAAAATTAGAACAGTTAAAAAGTCGCAGCAAAAACTATTCAAGAGATGTAAATTGATGGAAGTTACCGTTTACATTTTACTGTTCTTTCAGTTTGAAATGCACTCATCAATGCTGATTCTTTCTAACCCTGCAATATGAAAACTTTGCAGTTCCCCTTTAATTGCTTTATGCAGTGTAAAGTGTCTTGTTCTCTTTCAGGCACAACTGTTTGCTTTTAGTAGATTCTGTGGCATCTCTGGGTGGTGCACCACTACACATGGACAAGCAAGGTAATCCTGACTGACAGTTCCCTGCAGCCACTGGGTCCTGGTGCTCAGATTGGGCTGGATTCTAACTGCTCTCTACCACACAGCATAAGACTGGATCCACTGTTGTGTGGGGTTGGGGATGTAATGCACAAGTACATTTTAAACGGCAACCAGGATCAGTGGAGTTTTCACTACTAAAAAAATGAAAGTAAAAAGATGTAAAATCCACTCAAAACAAAACTTATTGAGAGGCCTTTTCCTCTACTTACATAGGTTTAAGGTGTAATTGTTCTCCTGGTCTTTACAATGAACTTACAAACTTCATGAACAGCTTTTAGCTTTATAGCTGAGTGCTTGCCATTGCCTGGTGGTAGCAAGCAGCTCCAGTCTGTCTCTGTCCCCATATTCACAGGCATTGACATTCTCTACAGTGGTTCACAGAAGGCACTGAACTCTCCCCCTGGGACTGCACCTATCTCCTTCAGTGATCAGGCCAGGTGAGGGAAATGAGCTTTCACTCAAAATGACTCTTCCTCTTCTTATTGCACTGGGACGAGTAGCATTACTTCTCAATTAAATTCAAGCTTTATTGTCCATTTGGGGAAATTTGTTTTTCAGCACACTCCCAATATAACATAATGACAGACAACATTTTACCACCAAATAACTTTTCTTTTATATAATCAGAAACTGGGATTTGAGTGTTAGAGATCTTACTGATTGACTAGAAATCAGGTGGCTACGGGCCCCAGTGTGTTACCTGTCTGTCCTGAGGATAGATTGTAGGGCAAATTTTACAGCTTTTATAAAACTTTGAATTATTACGTCTAAAACTGTAGATGAAAATTGTATCAGTGGTTCACTGTAAACTCCCATGATACTTATACACCCTTCAAAATGATAATTTTAATAATAATTTAAAGGAATTTATTTCCCTTTGTCCTTCTGTGGTAAATATGAATAGTGTTGCCTTGCTTCAATGCTGAGATACACTAAAGAGTTCTGAGATTGATTGTCTGTAGTTGCAGACTGATATTTCCTTTCTTTTATCCACTGTACAGCAAGAAGATCTTTAGCCGAAAAACGAAGCCAGTCTCTTTTCTCCTGGACATAAGGTGGCTTGCCAATTACTGGGGCTGTGATGGAAAGCCCAGAGTGTAAGTCTCAATACTTTCATGGTGACCCACATTTACTCTTAAACATGTGGACAACTTCATCAAAGATAAATAACCCCTAGTGTCACTCCACTCACATGAATATGTGATATTGCCTTCAGCTGATTTATTTTCTTTCACTACGAGTCATCATGTTCATTGTAATTCCTTTGTTTATGCAACTTTCACAGTTGTTTGCTGTGGTCGAGGGGTTGTTCCTGTGAAGTGCAGTCAGATCAGCGCCAGATGGCTAATTTATTTTATTTTCTGGTGCAATTCTGTTTTTCCTTCCACATGCTAGATTGCTGCCAGTGATCCTTCTGGAGGCTTTTCAGAAGCTCTGTATGCTATTGTCATCATTCAGGTTGATAAACTAAACATGGCTCAGAAACTACAACCAAGTCAAACAAGAGGGAGAAAATGGAACAGCAAGAAAAAATAAAATTGACACAAACTTTACACACCTTCAGCCTCAGCAGTCAGGCATTTTCAAGAGCCCATTCAACACAATAAAGCATAAAGAATGTACAATGCACACCTTCACTCAACCTGCTGAGCTCCAGGTGTACAACACAACGTGAGGATCTGTCTGGACAAAATGAACGAAGAGCTAAGTGATCTCACCAGGCTTGTCTGGATCTCCTTATCTGTCTGCAGGTATCATCACACGGGCCCCGTGTCTGGATTCTTCTCTCTCAGGGAGAGCCTGGCCATCATGGCCGAGCAGGTGAGGGGGCTCAGTACTGCAGTTTCGGGCATTCTGTTACACGCCACGGAGCGGCTGTTTTCAGCGAAAGTGAACGTTTCCAAAATACAATCCAGAAAAGTGAATGAATATCACTCCTGGAGAGCATGCTGAGCCACACAAATTATGATGCATTGAACACCTTTACAGCTCTAATTGGTTTTCTGAATATGACAGTTTCCAGAATCTAACTAAAGCGCTGTTTATATACAGTATTTACATTTATATAAAAACATTGTATATTTATCAATTGTACTGGGCTTCATATTTTAGATGCTGTGTGTATGCTGCCCTCTTGTGGCAGTTTCCTGTAAGTGACTAGTTTCTGTATCTATACTAAGGGCCTGGAGAAGTCCTGGAAACAACATCAGGAGGTGGCAGAGTACCTACACCAGGGGCTGGAGAATCTAGGACTGAAGCTGTTTGTGAAGGAGAAGGTGAGTGTCAAAGGAGAATAGTATATGGGCAACATGGTGAGAATGTAAAAGGCTAACTTAATTTAACAACTAAAACTAAAATAGTTTTACATGGAACTGGAATGGAGCTTAGAAACAAAGGTTAAAGAAAGTCTTGACAGAGTGCAGGTAATAAGCACTCCCTTTCCATATAATGACCAATAACATCCTGGGTGTTCCCTTGATCTCCCGACTAGTGCTTCCTCGACCAATTTAAATTCCGTCTTTAAGACAAGTGCTTCTAGTTTCTTTTACCCTGTTGTTGACTTTGTTGGGTGTGACTCCCAGCATCTGAGGCTCCCGACAGTGACCACCATCACAGTGCCCCAGGGATACGACTGGAAAGAGATCACAGCCTACGTCATGAAGCACCATAGCATGGAGATCACCGGCGGCCTGGGGCCCTCTATTGGCATGGTGAGTACAGGGTTTGAATGGCGTGTTTGTGTTTGAAAGTGAGAAGAGAGGGTGGGAAAGGGGCACCTGGGCCATTGAAAAGTGAAAAGTCCTACATCTTTGTGAAATCGATCCAACAACTTTAAAATACTTCATTTGTAAAGGTTTACAGATAGCAGGGCCCAGGGGCGGTTTGGTTTTCATGGTGGGGAGTCAGGAGCTGCAGGCCATATGAGCTGAAAGTGCCTCCTCTCTGCCTGCTCTTATTTGTCTGTGCCATGTTTGTCATGACAGGCTCAGCTGGACTATGGAAAACCTTTTCCAGATAAAAGTCTAACCTGATTGATGATTTCCAGAGACTTATCAAATCAACAGGGGTATAGCACTCCAGGACTGTTGCTGTTTGCTACTAGCTTAAGGAGTTTCTTTGTTCAAGCTGATCACTCAAAGTCTAAGAAATATATGTAAATTAAGAGTAAACAGCCAAGTTTCAAGTTTAAACTCTAAAGTTGAAAGAGTGCATTGCTGAAGCTGTCCTGCACATGTTTAGCCAATATCTACTGTATGCCTTTCTTATCTTGAATGTAACTGATTGTCAGGGAGTGCGTTTATTTTGTCCATAGCCAGAATTTCAGATTTCAGTTAACTAATCCTTTTGGGTGTGTTGTGTGCCGCAGGTTCTGCGAGTGGGGCTGATGGGATATAACTGCAACAAGACCAACGCTGACCATGTTCTCCAGGCGCTGGGAGATGCGCTCAAACACTGTCACAAGAGCAAGGTGTAGGAGGGAGGTGCCAGCCCCCAGCCCCTCACGGGCCAGTTCTAAAGGAAGACGGGGTCTTTGCTGGAGGGTCTGCATTTCTGGAGGGAACAACGCAAGATATGTGCATTATGGATATGCATTTCGGAAGCATCCCTTGAACTGCTGTCCAACAAGAGGATTTTCATTTCTCCCTTTTGTTTTGTAATTACACCCCCAATCCCCACCACCCTTGTAAATCTGTAAATCTGAACCTCTGTTCTGACCACGAGAGCTCAGGAATTACGAATGAGCCTCTCCAGGCCTCGGATGCAGAGTCCTGCAGTTCTTGCTAATTAAGATCTAAAAACAACGAGTAATTTGACTGCTTGTGCAGATAATTAATTCCTTTCAGTATTTTAGGGCCTCAAGGACAGCCTACGCAAGCTCAGTGGTGATTGCACAGATCCCAAAGGCAGCGAAGGTTAGATACCCCCCTGCAGACCATTTCTTGTGACAGTCCTTTGGATCCGTACCTGTCGAGCTGCAACAAGCTGATACAGCACACTGCTCCTTAATAATGCAACACCATAGCTTACTGCATGTTGCTCTGGTGCAAAAAGTATTGTTTGAAAGCGTACACGTGAATGTAAAGCATTTTAATAACCTGCAGTGCAATGCTAAATTGGAATAAGAAACATATAAACAGGTTTACTGATTTCAGGGAATTGATATAAGCACATAAGAATATGTACAAATAAGTACAGCCATTTGGCTCATCCAGAGCCAAAACTGAACAGTAAATGTACTTCTTATACATGTATTGCATTTTTTAAATGGTAATTTTGAAAATAAAAAAAATATTTAATTCTCTGTAAACGTGCTTGTTTCAGGCAATAAATGTTGTACCTCTGAACATCTACACCATGTATACAGTATGTGTTGATGAGCATTTCCATTACTTTTGTGCAAACAGGCCTCCTGAGTGGGTTACTGGCATCAGCATGAATTAAAACATGTAGCTGTGATTAGACCAGACGAATGTAAAGAAGCCATCTTGTTTTAATTCAAAAGACAAAGCCGTTCGGTTGCATATTCTTCATTATTTACACAGCGTAATCCTAAAGTGCTCTATAAGGCAGTAAGCAATTAAAAGAAAGCTGGCACACAATTTATATATGAAATGGCAGAAAAATAGGTAGTACGAGTGCACTACACCACAAAAATGACAGTTATTTGGGGTATAAATCGAGTAGAGCACTTATGTGCACTTTCTATACGAAGAGAACTGCACGGTCTTGATTCTTCGAAAACAGCCCTCTAACTCATCAGACGGAGGTGAACGAAAATAGCTGGACATGACAGGACAGGCCTTGGATCCCTTTCTCAGTACCTTAAACAGATAACTAAGCGGAACAAGTCGACTTCGATTATAACTAATATATACATGTTTAGTTTTAATTAAGAAACTAGTCGGGTTAAATGATCAACTGACGAGGCATCCCCTTCAACTTAAACAACGAGAAAAGCTGTAACTTCAGAACAGCATATAAATTAAAAGGTTAATACACGACGGTTAAGAATGCATTCAGATGTATCGGAGTATGAAGGCAACAGAAAATGTAAAAAGTACGAGAGCTTTAATGTGAAGTCCGGAGACTTAAAATATTAAAACCAGAAATATAGTCAAATACACGCCCAACAGGCTTGTGAGTACTGAAAATAGCAGTAAAAACGCTCCATAAATCAAAGTTGTATTAAAGACCAAAAGGAGCTGCTATTGTTTTGTCTAAACAGTTAAGTAGAAACAGTTTATATATATATAAAAAAAACTTTTTTCAAATACTAAGAGGATGAACTCATGGATATACAATAAACAGCCTAAAGAGAATCTGCACAGCGCTGTAAAACCGGAAAAGGAGGGGTAATAGTACGTAATCTAAACCGGGAGTGTCTTGGTGACGTTTGACAACAAACCGCTACCGTAAAATCAAGAATATAAGTATCTCCACATTTTAACGTGGAAATTAAATCTTGAAGAATCACTTCAATAAACGGAATAACCTATTTTGATAAGCTTTCATACATGGTGAGAATAAAATAATTTACATTTGTATTTCATCATCATTTGTATAAACACACAAACTGTCATCTTTATACAAAATCTTTCTCAAGGTTTGTAGTTTGCAAATTAAAATGCGTTTTCTGTCTTAGTTCCTTGTTGTACGGTACGTATTAATTATTCAAAGATGGCCTCCACCCTGACAACGTTAACAGTAGTTGGAGATTGTGCAAGGTTTGGTCAAAAAAGGCGCGTATTTTTTTTAAGGCTAGTAAAGGTCATGCATAGGCAGACCTCAAGTATTATGCAGAGAAGGTACGCTTGAGGAAACGGAGCGTATTCGGATTACAGACGCTTTTTTTGGATTTTAATTTTCTCTGTATTCTGGAGATGTCGTGTAGGAGGGGAGCCTTTATTGTGTTAGAAGGGGTTGATCGCGCTGGGAAGACTACACAATGCAAGAAGCTGGTTCAGGCGCTACAGGAGAGTGGCCATCGGGCTGAAATTATGAGATTCCCCGGTAAATTTTCTTTCCTGTATCTTTCCCATTCGTAAAGCCTCTAAAATTCATCCCTGTCAAAGCGACTGCACAGCTTGCACCGTTGCAAAACATAAACGTTTCGGTTGACGCGTTTATACATTTCTTTACATTTGTATTCTAATGTGTACAAATATACAGTTATGTGCTTCTTATTTAACTTTATAATCCGTCGGGAATGGAGATCTCTTTGAAAGGTTTTAAGTAAATAAGTTACTTAATAACTGATATTTGTAAAATAAGGAATATTGCAACCGATGGATCTGAAATAGCAATAACAAAGAATAATTTACCAGTACTATAAGGAATACAATACTTAAAAATATCGCGAAGAGCCCCGAGTATGAATGATATGCGCGCGTTGTTACGGTCTTCCAACCCGGAAGTGAATAACGGGATGCTGCACACGTCACTCACGTACCTGTGCGGGTGTGCAGAGGGGACATGAACGGAGGTGCTGTGTACTTTACTTTGGCAAAAACACGTTTCAGCTGAAGCAACGCGATGCTTTGTGTTGTTGCAAATGCGTTTTGAGGTCGCTAACCCAAAAAGCGACTTGTCATTAATTTAATTATTAAGCACATGTCCTGTGGACGGTGTAATAACACTGAAATATGTTGTGCATGGTCACCGAGGTGAGTGTTATTCCATCATCAGATCTATGTTAGGTCTCTGCCCCCGCCAAGCACTTCAATTGTATGCACTTTTAAGTTTACATGTCACTACTGTGTAGTGCTTTTTTGGTGCTACACTTTCGGCATGCAAGTTGTAGTTTTTTATTTTTGCTGTTTTCAGTTTGTGCTTTTCATCGTGAATTTCTCATATACTGTACCTTGGGAGAAAATGACAGAGAACAAATGGATTAGAAAATACATTGAAAGGGAATACAATAAGATGGTAATGGATTCCAGTTTATGGTCAAGGACAATGTAATTTTAAGCTTGTAAGCGATTACCTTGAACTGGAATCATAGGCTTTGTTAGTTCAGCCTAGAATGTAATAAAAGATTATGTGTGTTTTGCATAGTTTTTCAGGCTGTGCTTGGTGAGATGCATTCCAACACAGAAGACAGCTTTAGACTCCTAAGAGTGCTGGATCTAGACTCTAAACTGGCTGCAATGCTGTGACAGCTTCTGAAAGAGTAATAATCATTAATAATTGGTTACACCTATATAGCGCTTTTCTGGAAACTCCACTCAAAGTGCTTTACAGGTAATGGGGACTCCCCTCCACCCCTAATGTGCAGCCCCACCTGGATGAGGCGACGGCAGCCATAGTGCATCAGAACGCTCACCCCACATCAGCTATCAGTGGGGAGGAGAACAGAGTAATGAAGCCAATTCATAGATGGGGATTATTAGGAGGCCATGATTGGAAAAAGGCCAATGGGAAATTTGGCCAGGACACCGGGGTTACACCCCTACTCTTTTTGAGAAACACCCTGGGATTTTTAATGACCACAGAGAGTCAGGACCTGGGTTTTATGTCTCAATCGAGGGACGGAGCCTGTTTTATATTATATTGTCCCCGTCACTATACTGGGGCATCAGGACCCACATAGACCCCCTGTTGGCCCCACGAACACCTCTTCCAGCAGCAACCTGTTTTTCCCAGGAGGTCTCCCATCCAGGTACTGACCAGGCTCACACCTGCTTAGCTTCAGTGGGTTGCCAGCTGTGAGCTGCAGAGTGATATGGCTATGATTTTCCATCTCAGGGTTTTTGATTTCATTTGCTTGATATCCTTTCCTAATGTGTCTCCTGGGCTCCGCTGAGGATGTGTTCCTGTTGTTTCTCCAGACAGGACGACAAAGATAGGCCAGTTAATCAGCGCCTATCTGGAGAAGAAGAGTGACCTGGAGGACCACACTGTGCACCTGCTCTTCTCTGCCAATCGCTGGGAGCTTGTGTAAGATGCCTTTCTGCCGCCCTGTAGCCTGTGGCAAAACTGCTTTTGGTCTCCTTGATGCAGATGTTAGAAAGTGATCAGCTCTCAGTTCTCCCATGCGGTTGACAGCAATCTAAACTCATGTCTGGATGCTTTCGGGGGACGCTCCTCGCATTTTAAGAACAGGTAGACAAGCCCAGTAAGCAAGCTGCCTGCGAGGAGATGATTTCAGTACCACTGCTGTGAATGCTAAATAGTGGCTTGTATGTTTGTGTGATCTGGCTCCGCAGACCTGCGATGAGGCAGAAGCTGGAGCAGGGCGTGAGTCTGGTGGTGGACAGATACGCTTTCTCCGGAGTGGCGTTCACCAGCGCCAAGCCGGTGAGTACTTAGGCTCCAGTGCTCTGTAGTGTGGGTTAGGAACTTAGAAGGCCAATGTTTCAGTAGGTTGTAAACCCGTTTCTCTGTTTGACGAAAATGCGATACTACAGAGCACGTGAATTCTTACTGACAGTTCGAATAAAGAAAGCCATCTTCGAAACAACGAAGAAGCGGTTACGAAGGAAAAGTTTGAAACCTCCGCCAAAAGCAGAGAGGTGAAGAGAAGGGTGTTATACGACTGGTTTCCTATTGAGTGTTCGCGTCACCTTCCGTTAATTAGTGTGGGTTAATTAGTGCGCCCAGCCTGCGAGGGGCATGTATGATACAGTTCACTGCGGCTTGCTCCGTGTGGTGTTCACTGTTGTGTGCAGGTTTAGGCTATATCATGGACCTTAAAATTGTAAAGACAATGAAAATTGTGAGTGTGTGCATAATCGCACAAAACAAATGAAGTGGTCACTATACAGTACTGTACTTAGGTCTCATTAATGATGTCTAGCTAGGCTAGAAGTGTTTTTTATTACTAAAAACAAATAAACAGTATGAATGCTAGTTGTTATTGTTTGTCATTTTTTGGTGAAAAATGTAAAAGTAGGGGTGACATTTCTGGGGCCCAGAATGGTTCGTAATTTTTCCCCATAAGAAATAATGGAAATAGTTTTTTCTGTTTACTAATGTTCACCGAACGAAAGGGTTTTTGGGAACTATCTACATTGTAAAAAGAAGTACGGGTGTATGTTCCTGGTGTGTTTTCCTGACTTTGTGAATGTAGCTCTCGTTGGGGACGTGATGGGGGCCGTGAGGATCTGGAGGGGGTTATGGGTGATGTCGGTGGCTTACTGAGCCCTAGCATGTAGCACGCCTGGCCTAGCGAGATCAAGCAGAGAGCATCCAAGTAAGAAGCAGTCCAGTGTAAATCGCCTGGCCAGCGTTAACGGAGTTCCAATCCTCCAGGGAGAGCTGGGTCGTGATTTTGCCATCGAAAGATGACGTTGGCTCCCTCTGTGGCGAGCTGGATTGAGTGTGTCTGTGGTGTTGCAGGGCTTCTGTCTGGACTGGTGTAAGAAGCCCGACGTGGGGCTGCCCAAACCAGACCTGGTGCTGTTCCTCCAGCTGAGTCCCGAAGAGGCCGCGCGCCGGGGGGAGTATGGCGCCGAGCGTTACGAGAGCAGCGACTTCCAGAGGAACGTGCAGCAGCGATTCCAGCAGCTTATGAAGGACCCCTCCCTGAACTGGAAGGTGATCCCAACCCCCTGCAGTATTTAGAGACAATTAGCAAAGCAGAGCACTCTCCTTATTCTCATATCCAGTGTATGCAAACAGCACAGGGTGTGATATAAGTTTATCCAAAGGGACTAACATCTGCTCCTGTTTGTCTGGGTGCTTGTTTTACTGGGACAATTCAGGTGATGTACCTTGCTCAGGGGTACAACCGCTGTGTCTCACCTGGGGTTTGCAAGTTCAGAACCCTAACCACAGCGCCGCGCTGCAGAGACAGTGAGCGGCAACGGTTCACATTAAAATCAAATTGTTCAGAGGGGATTAAACACATAACCAAATGTTTTTAACAGTGAGGCCATCTCAGATGAACACAGGTTACCTTCACATTCACTGGGGTTTAGTCCACCTTGAACATCTTTCTAAAAACAGGGGATTGAGTACAATAGGAAAACCAATGTGTATAGTATATTTCGGTTCCCTCTGTGTCAATATCCAGACAAGCAGGAGGTAAGAAGCAAGAGGACACTGCTGGGGAAAATCCACAACTTCTGCTTTGCCCAATAGTAACGTTAGTGGAATCGAGGGATTGATTTAACTGTTGCACAAATTCTAGCAAAATAAAGCTTTGCCAGAGTTCTGTAGATTCAGCCGTAGATGTGTGCCCAATGGCCTGCACATGCATTTCAGTGAATGGCTTTTTGACAAGCCTTGATTTTTTTTCTGAAGGCTCTCCGTTCTTCCTCTTTCAGGTGATTGATGCAGCCCAGAGCATAGAGGACCTGCATACAGAGATCAAGACTCACAGTGAGGCTGCCATCAAAGCTGCTACCAACCAGCCAATCACAGAGCTCTGGAAGTGAGTCTCAATCCCAGAACAGTGCATCACACTAGCATTCTGGGATGTGCAGCTCCATTGCTGGGAGACCACCGTCACTATAGGTTTTTATTCCACCCCAACTCATTATCTAGTTGATCTAATTGACTAACTGGATCTGTTTAACACCTATCCTCAGTTATTCACATACTGGAAGTAGATGTATAGGACGTACTGGGTCTCAGACACCCAGGGTGTTAGCTGTGCATGCTTGGTAGCGTAAGTGTAACTGTAGGGAGTTTGCAAAAAAACAAATATTGAAGAGTTTTGAGAAGACACCCCCTGCTTTGTTAATCAATATCAGTGTGTTGTGTTGTTTTTGTGTTATGGAAGGAAATCTGTGATGTTTTTCATCAACTTAAAGGATGCTTTGCAAGCACATTTTTCTATGCTTGTATATTCCATTAGGTCAAACTCCATTGGTGTTAGTGATAATCTTGTCCAAATATTACTGCAGAATGTACTATGTAAAAGGTGCTTGAAGTCTAAACAGATTGCAAGATGAAGCTGAGTTAACCAGTTGCTGCTAGAAAGGATTGAGTGCTGACTTGAACACCTTTCCTTTTTTAATGAGCTTCATACAATTCTGGGACCTGTTTGTTGAAAATAAATTTACAAAACTTATGCATACGATCCATATCTCTGATCTGCTAAGTCACCAGAAGTTAATGCGTGTATATGTGAGACGTTTTTCCATTGTGGGGGAGCAGTAACAACCAAAACTGACCAGGACTGGGGAGAAGTAAAATAACTATCTCGCACATGTCTTGTCAACAGTACTCTGTAAACAACTTTAATTAAAAACGTTTTATCTTTTCAAAGATTATTCCCAATATTTAGAACAAGGGATCCGACGGCACTCATAGTGTTTGATTTCTATATATCTTCTCTTTCAAAAGAGCAAATCTTAAAATCGGTAGAACATTTCTGTCTTGGTCTTGCCATAACGACAGCTTTTAATACACAAGTCTGAAAAAAATACTTGTAGGTCCACACATATAACTTGTTCATATCAACTGATAATGTAGGTGGTGGTCATAAGAGAGCCAGACGGAAACGACGGTATGCAGATAAAAACAGAGCCCTGGTGTCTTCTGATCCCCAAACTCTTCTCCTCACAGTGTGTTTTTGTCACAGAAGTCGATAAAATATTGAAAGGAGCTCCACCTATGATGGATTTACATCCTTCTAATGTAACACTGCTATACAAACTGCAATATGGCCAAACGTTGCAGGCATCTGACGTTTATGTACATAATGGGACTTGTCCTTGAATCAAGTGGGGGGGGGGGACATCTGGGAAAAAGAGAGCAGCTAACTGCTGTGAAGCTGAAAGTAATGGTAATAAAATGATCCTAGCAATTAGTATGTGAATTGGAAAACAACCTTTAGAACTTTTCAAGCACACTTAATTGGCCCATACTTTAATGTCATCATAAATAAGCAGTTAATTAAAAATTAAATATGAGTTCTAAGTCTTAGGTATAAACGGTATGATTTATACTTTATGAGGAAGAAGTGATGTAGTTACTTTAGACTTTTTTTACCAGCAGGCCTGAGGAGCAGTTAGTCTTTATAACGTTTTCCCACTCAATAAGCCTGCTTATTCCTTTTTTTTTCTATGGCAGACTTATATTCATTGACCAGTAAATTGTTTTATACACTTTATACACATTAATTTAGATACAGAGATCACCCAACATCTATACAGTAGGTAATCATCTTTGAATGGGGTAATGCAGAATTGCCTGTTGAGTACAAGATCAGATACTGCCATACTCTGCCAACCGCTGTCACACAAGCATTGTGGGTAACACCAGGAATAATCGAAGACACTGACATTCCCTGGTCGCTTACTACTTTATGCATTGACAGCACAGTGATAGACTGTTCGAATTTATACAAAAAAAAGCCCAGAAACATACTTCTCTAAATTTAACTTTAGGCAAGTGAAAGCTGACATTGGATACTTAACACATGGGCCATTCTTCCTCTCCATGGGGAAGTTCTGGTTGCCACCTTGCCATACACAGTGACAGTACAGAACAAGCCTACTGCTGCCTGGAGCCTTACAGCCATGTGTTCTCCGCTAGCACATCGTGTCCACAGGACCTATGCAGATACAACAGGACATTTAACTTGGATAACAATGTGCTGGATTCACACCAGAAAAGTACAGCGCAACTTTTTTTTTATACAAAACAAAATAACAAATGTGCAATCTGTCAACTTGAAAACAACAGAGCTGAAACAAAAAAGAACAGTTAGTTCCCCCCGCCTTCCTTCACCAACAAAAACAGTCTTGACAGTGGATGCAAGTCACAGAGCAGTGTTTGTCGCAGGCTGTGCCCAGGGCAGGCGGGATGACTCTGGCATGGATGGCAGGCTGGCCGGAAGGGCCACAGCCCTTCTCCTCCACCACCCACCCCCTGCGGCGTGCAGGGTAGTCTTCACTGTGCGCCGGGGGTGGAGCTGCAGCCTCCTCACAGAGACAGGATCTCAAACTCCTCGTCCTCCGAGTCGAAAAACCGCTCTAGCCTGTCTGAATCTGAGAAATCTGAAACGAAAAAAAACCAACAAGATCCTCCCAATTCCTCTGTTCCTCTACAGCGTCACCTCCAAGTTACTGTCTCACAGAGCCTAGGAGTCCTGTAGGGGGTCTTTAAGCTTATTTTACTTCAGAACTAAAGTTACTGAAATAAATGAATTTATTGTGACTACCTGTGCAAATTAAATTGTACTTTTGTGTTTCATAGCTATAACAGAGATGTCTACTGTGATTCTAGTATATCGGTTACTTAAAATTAAAGGACTCTTCGTGTTAGTGATAAAGGTTAACAACGTATTCTCACAGACTGCAAAGGAAAACTTGCTTGACAATGTTTCTAAGTGCAACTAATAGCCATTGTACTGACAATGGCCAATCTGTAAAAGCAGCAGTGTCTGATTTCAAAGGGAGCTCAGCAGAAGTTAAGGGAGTTCAGCTAGAATTACTTTTGCAACATGACCATGTGTATTTGAGTGCTGTACGTGGTAGCACTGACCTGGAGTAAGGTTAAGGACATCGGAGGAGGTGAAATGAGACGGCTGACTGTCCACCAGCTCAAACATTGGCAGCCCTTCCCTGCTACCAGACAGCTGAAGGACAAAGCAGACCAGTGTTTTGCACTGACAGGGGACTCTACAGCACAGCATGAAAGACTTGAGGTAAACCTGTGAAGGTCCCCAGTAATGAACTGCGATCTGCGCAGAACGGATAATGACCAGTTAAGACTTTTGGATGATATATCATTCAGTCACAACTGCTTTTAAATCCTAAATGCAAAATTAATTAAATGCAGGAGACAGCTTAAAAGGTCAAACGCTTGCCAGCAGGCAAGTCATCAGGATGCAACACTGACAGTACTCAGTACAGTGGAACAGTCTTCAGTGATTCCTGAATTAAGATTAGCAAGGACAAAATATTGCCAAGTCACTCTAACAATCTAACACTAACAATAAGAATCATATGGAGTTTACTGTGTCTTTGAGAGGCATCCCAGGTCCCACAACTATTCTATGCATGGTTTAATTTTCACTCACCTTTCGAATCCGCATACACCAGTCATCAAAGTCATCCTCTGTGTGACAGAAGAAGCCCTAGTACAAACCAAATGAAATGCATCCTTTACTGTCCTCTGGTTTTCCCACACTACATTTTAACAAGATTTTGTTAAACAAACAACAATTTTTTACCTCTAAGTTCTTAGAAATGTATCTTTTTCAATTGTATATTTTATTTAGCCAATCATCAATCACCTAAAAATGCTGTTAAAATGGTATTTAAATCTGCAGGCATTTTAGGCCAGGATAGGGTGTGAGTTTCATAGTGTTAAATGCAGTTATACTTCCAGTTGCCCTTTAAATGACAAAATTAAGAGAGATTACCCAATAGAACAGGCTTTTCTTTACAACTTTTGATCTGAATCGGTTTTGGGATGCAATTACTTAACGCTGCAATAAATAATATATGCTGCCAAAACTATCTGAAAAAACAAACTGATAACAATTTATCACTCATCCTAAAGTTCACTTGGGTCCAAAAATACAGCACTGAGCATAAACAATATCTAACTAGTGTGGGAATCCTAAACCTAACCCTGGCTGGGGTTTCAAATGAGCAGCTCTGCACTCCAGACTCTAAGCCCTCCAGACTGTTTTAGGGAAATCACATTTGGGTGCTTATTTAGATAGCACAACACATTTTTATGTCCACCATTATATTATACTGATACTTATTCATTACAGATTATACAGTACTATTTTTAACAAACATTTTGCTGTTCTTGCTTTGCAAAGATCAAGTTAGATTTTTAGTATTTAAATGTTTTATCCAGCTCAGTGAAATAGTTTCAAGCACAAGCAAGGGTACAATTTAGTAGTAGTAGCATTGCAAGGGATTCCAAAGCCTAATGCTTAGAAGGTATGGAAACACAATGCGTCTTCAATGGGAAAATTGCTATTTAAGTCAGTCCTTAAAGGTGCTTGAGAGGAAATTTGAGAGGGCAGGAAATTAGTCCTGAAAACCTAATGCTCTTTAGGAAAGGAAAAATAATAGTGTGAATCTTTCACATGTCACCATGTAAGTCAGTTTTGGAGTCCTGCCCTGTCACTGTGTGCTCTGCGGAGATGCAATCCTGAAGGATTGCCCACCTCTGGGTGCACCTACCACAGCAATGGAGGGGTCCAGTTCACGGATGTGCATGCGACAGGGCGGGTGCTGGCAGTGGTAGGTGTCGTCAGGGACCTGCCCATCGTCGCTGGGCTCCACTGCAGGCTGGGTGGTGTGAGGGTCCAGGTAGATCATCTCATCTCCTGGGGGGGGATACAGCTGGGTAGCAGTGACAATACCAGGAGACCTGCAGATGCAGCTCCTTTAGAAAACTACACATCGAAGACCTGCTGCTAATCAAGGGCAATCCTAAACATTGCTATGTAGTACAGTTCTTGAACGTCCCCATGAAGCGTTTTATATAGGCAAAATCAATTTTTTGATCCATCTACCAATCCCAAATTACAAACCAATACTTCAGAGCGTGTGCTTGTTTCCCGAGGGCTTCTTGTATCGACCAAACTACAATCCACCATGCATGCACCAAGATTGGTAGTTGCGAAAAATGGATGTGTTCAATTCTTTAACTGCATAGAAAAAAAAACAACACTGTCATGCTATGAGTGCCTAAAAGTAACGGAGAGACACTGTGTGTGTACAAGCAGGTTTTTCCACTGGAATACGAATTAAATTTATCCAAGCAGACGAGACACGGGTTACTCGGACTAACCTACATAGCCAATGAAGTAGTGTGCGCTATTGGGCTTTCCGCCAATGACTCCCAGGGACTGAGGCAGCATGAAGCAATTCTGTGGAAACAGGGAAGGAGTCACCAGTCGGCACAGACAACAGAGCTCTTTATGTGTAGTCCATAAACCTGTGACAATAACCAACAACTGTTTCATTCTCACAGGCCAACCCCATGTAAGGCAACACACAAACGCCTTGCCTTTTGCCTGCTGAGAAACCACAAGTCCCCCACCCTCTCTCTTCATTCGTATACCACTCACGTCAGAAATTTAAGTATCATTGTTTTTTCTATGTGTTAGAGAAACCTGTATCGCATGGAGATCTCAATGTATCGGAGGCCTCTGCTTTTTGTAGCATTCTCAGGCGCCCCCATACCTCCCCCTGCTTTCTAGAGTTATCGTTCCTCCTTCTGTTACTACCCTTCACTTATTCCATCAGTGCTGTCATGTCTAGACAGTTCAGCCAAATCTGCAGTTTCTCTGTGTAACACAATGACTGAAGTCCTGTTGTTCACAGTGTAGGTTCACCCCCATTGACATTCCCCCATCATCCCGTTGGCCCTTCCTAGCAGGCCCAGCAGTGGGCCTTCGGCTCAGCGCTGCAGGGCCGGTACCTTCAGCGTCTCGATGTAGGCCTCGTTGATGTCGCTCAGGCCTAGCCGCAGCGGGATCAGCAGCACCAGCGGCCTCCAGAGGGCGGCCTCCCCCTCCGCCCCGGCCAGCGCGCAAGCCCCCTCCGCGCAGCCGTTCAGCTCCCGCTCCCCCTCCAGCCCGGGGGCGGCAGCGGCTCCCGCGAAGTCCAGCCAGGGCATGCAGAGCCGCTCTGAAACAGGAGACCGGCGCGGGGGCGCCATTACTGCTTGTTTATCTCTCCCGGACAACCTGCCTGGTGAAACCGAGGAGCTCCTCCCTGACCGGGGTCCGAGAGGAGCCGTTTATGCCAGCCGGACTGTCTGGCACTGTCCCTGACTGCTGTCGGCAGGGTTCAAATCCGTCATTCACAGACAACGGACCACATTTCCAACTGATACTGACCCTGATTTTCCATTTTTCTCATTTTCCATATATTTTATTATGTGTGGGTCATGTGTAACCAGCTGTGTCAGTATATTTTAAAATAGTATTGACCATTTTTTTTTGCCTGGGGGGGGCTCTCAGTTTCCTTCTGAAGCTGAAAACCCAGGTCTAATACAGAATATTAACAGATTCCTTCACTCACTTATATCCTCAATGACCACAGTGTTGTCCATGGCAACATGCATTGCAAGTTGGCTCCACGAATCAAACGCAGACAGTTTTCTGGAAGGGGAAGAGAGACAGAGACGTTAGGACAGTTCAGTGAGACACAAAAAATGCTAGAAATACCGATGTACGGGGTATGGTACTTATGGTACTGTTATAATAAGCACTGTAATGTTAATTCTTTAAACCTTTCTCAATTATTAACAGAAATTCAAAGGCATGCTTCATCATCACTGTGCCATTTACGCCAGTACACCAAAGTAAGTAAGTTCCAATGAAAACGGCACGAACTTGAGAACTTGCGCCACTGTGTTTGGTCCATACCACTGGCCGATAGACTTTCCCTCTCCAACTCCCATCTGGGCTGCATAGTGGAGAAAGGACAGGGATGTTACAGAGAACACGGCCATCTAGCAAGTTATCTTTTACATTAGAAACCCATCTTGGCTACAGATTCCACTGTAGTCAGGGCAGATGGTACCAAGTGACCTAACAGTTATTTCAATTATGAGTGCAGACTTAAAAGCAAAGCTAAATAAAATGCAGCATGTTGGAACAATTCCAGGGGATGCTCAAAGATACTACTTAAAAGCTATTTTTCAACAGGAACACCGAACAATAACTTAAGATAAAGACTTAATACATAAATTAGTGTGGTAGACAATGAAACACAAAATGAAAAGCCGGTAACATAAAATGCACTGTTGAGAAATAAGATGAAAAGACTATATTCTAAAACACAGGACAGGTCATTTTTCAGTTTAACAAAGACCAAAAGGCATCTCACCAATCTGGTGTATAGAATAGTAACTGTCTTTTTTGTCAATGAAGGCATTGAGAATGCTGAAGTATTCCTCCTTCTGCTTCTGGCCCCTTATCCACCTCCAATCTGCACAAACAAGAAGGCACTGTGACTGTGTCTCCAACAGAGGAGACCGACTGCTCATTCCTGCCACCCTGAAGGCAGACCAAACTGCAAATCAAAGGTCTGAGGCACGGCCCACAAGAAATATTTCCTGCTCAGAACAAAGGCGAGGCGATTCTGAATTCCATCTTTCTGTTGTCTGATGATGTTTTTAAGACATCTTGAGATGTAATGACTGTTGCAGACTGTGGAGGTTTTCAATACAAACATTCACTGTGACGAAACCTAATAAAACTCTGACATTTAGATACACGTGGCTTCAAAGTCCAAATATACTTAACTTAGGTATAACAATATCTACAGTGCCAAATACTTTAAAAAAATTGAAGGCAACTCTTGTCTTTCTTCTTTAAAATATAAAGAAAACTTGTAAGCATACATATACGTTTCTATTATTCTAATGACTGTCCTCCTGCTTTGGACAGTAACAACACTGTTTAATGACATAACATAATGTGAAAATAAGAATTCTTTGCAATAAAAAATGTTATGGAATTACCTTCCTCAGACTCTGTGAGAGACAACTTCTTTAACTCTCTTTAAATCCAAACTCAAAACCTTCCTTTTTACCAAAGTCTACATTTGATTGCCCTACATCTATAATAAACCTTTATGCTCTTGTTTTACTTTTTTCTTCTTTTACATTTTATTGTACTTTTTTGTCTTTTTCTTTATTCACACAATGTATAGCATCCTTGGGTTTGGAAAAGTGCTTAATAAATAGAAAAGGAACTATTATTATTATTAGTAGTAGTAGTATAAAATACCTCGGCCTAGATGCCGGCAGACCAGGGCCTGTCCTAGAATCATCTGCCCACAGCGCAGCATGCAGCCCCAGCCTGTGTCAGAGGTGGGACCTGTTCCTCCTGCAGTAAGGGAGACAAATAAATGGGCAAATTATTTCACCTTTCACTCATGCATAAGATTATAGACAGACCCCCCCCAACAAAGGTTTCAGCTAAAGAAAGCATTTGAACTGCAGATAACTAAAATGTAGGATACGTAGTCCAAATATTCTTTCCATATAATTTTACAAAAGGAAAGAAACGAATGTTTCTTTCAAAAGAGATTATCATAGACAGCTACTGACTTTAAACAATGATCAGATATTACCGGCATTTACAGTACAAGATTTGTTTGCTACGTACATCACCACAAAACTTGAGTGGTGATGGTGGTGGTGGTAACTTTTTAATTGACATATTTTCCATTTGTTACTTGTGAAGTATGCTTCCTATATCAAGTCACTCACCAATAGGTTGAAAATTCCTTCTGTAGGTGAACCAAAGACGTGAAGCAATATCAGACAGGATCTCATCTTTCTCTAAAATGAGCGATGTGAACAATGAAAGACACAGCATCACAGGAGAATTTACCTTATCAACCATTTCAGTCAGTACTGAATCGACTTAATCAAATTTGTTTGGTCACTGTAACCATCATTAATTCATTCTAGAAATAATTTTATTTCATATTTATTTAAAATCACAGTGGCTTATGATATCTTGAGGGATAAAAAGGTAAATGTGTGTCTTAAGTTAGAAGCGATTTATCCAGTCTCTATTGTTAAAGTGTTATATTTCAAAGCTTTAAAAATAAAAAATAAAATATTACTTATTAGACATAGAAGAACCTGAAAAGGAGCAATGGGGCTTCAAATAATATTTGAACATAAACACAACTGAATGTTAATTTTATCACTACTATATGATCTGTTCATAGTAAACATAAAACAATTAAAAAAACATACTACAGTAATCAGTGAGGCCACAGTATTAATAGCTTTATACAGAGATTAGGAATAATTGTAATTCTGAGCAGTACTTTTCCATTCTCACAAAAAATAAACATCTGAACTCAGTCTGTACCTGTGAGGGCACTGAACTCCCTCCCCAGAATCCACACTGGCTCCTCGGTCTCTGGAAAATCCTCAAACTCTCCAAAGCGCAGTGTGTCGTAGGTGAGGGTAGCTGCAACACAATGGACAGACAGACAGAAAGCAAGCAAATGAGGCAGGTGCACGACTCTACTGGAGAATTCCCCCAGAAGACACAGCAATCTACACTCCAGCTACTCAAATGTTACCATGATGATCAACTAGATCTTCGTCACTATGGGGCATGAAGGCCAGTAGTAACGCTACTTAATGACTTTTTTACAGCGTTGTTCCAGTTTTTTTTAAAAGATCACAAATCTTACCACCAAACGTGGTTTTTAGTTTGTTCCAGACTGGATGATGATGTTCTAAAAATTCTAAATAAACACACAATTTTGCTAATGATTTTATTTTGTACTCTATATACTTATTTAATTACTCTAATGCTGTTGTTATTTTAATTGTAGCTTATTCTGATGTCTGTCTTGCTTTTCTTGGGCTGAGCTGCTGTAATGCCTCAATTTCCCTTCGGGATCAATAGAATCTTATCTATCTTAACCTTATTTAAAAATGATTGCTGAAGAACTACTTTTTATTGTTGCACACAACGCAAATACATTCACATCCACAAACACCCCTTTCATTCACAGTTTCATTTAAAAAAACAGGTTATAGCAGAAGCTGCTGAACTGTTAAGGAATCATGTGCTCCACATGACTTGGAAGTAACTAGAAACACATTCAGAACAAGTTTCAGAAACAACTCAATGATGGGCTTGGCATCTAATGTGGTACAGAAAACCATCCTAACTCAGTCTTGAAATTCTGAAATGCCACTAAGATGGGTTTTTTTAAGTACAAAATACTACAATTCTGCTATGATACTCTTGTACGTATATAGGAACTTACAGATTCACGAAGGGGTGAGCAGCTTTCAAAACAGTAAGTAATTTATTTTTGAATATTACAGTACAGTTTTGTTGTCATCACGGTGGTTACATTATTATAAATAATATAAAAATAAAATGATTACGAACAAAGGTGTATATTTGCCTGATTATTCCGAGACTGCTTATATGTGCTTTGTTGAAAAATAATATTTACAGATATTGCTGGGTTTTTTTTTTACCTTTTACATCAAACAGAAACAAGTGTGTAAGAACAGCAGCATAATAAAACGGTCTGAAACGCAAAAGTCCGTAACAGATAATTTCGAATTAAAAGAAATAAAGCGATGATCATCAGTTTATACAGCTGGCTGGGTCTAAATGTGGATTTAGGGCTACAGCTGTCATCTGCTGTGTTGAATAAACCCACAGTCTACAGGCTGCAAAGGTTACGATGTGGCGGACAGACACTGAGGGACACACCTGAGTAAGCCAAGGGCAGATGGCGTCACTGCCCTTTTTAGAAACACCAAGAGACGGTACATATTTCTGATTCAAACTACACGTAACACGCATCCAGAGAGTATAAAAATAACATAAATCATTTCAGATTTAAATAAATCATCATCATCATGCACAAATAACTTTACATTAACTCTCGTCTACCAAACAAAACCGTTAGCCGTACAGGTTTAAACCCCCTATACCATTCAATCAGTCTTTAATTTTGATAACGGGTAAAAACAAAAAAGAGCAATGTAATTCTTGTTTTCTTTACTCTGCCCTACCTGCATCCATCCCGTCAGCGACTCACCCTAACTTGGTGGGGGCGAAGACAAACATCATGTGGCCAAAATACATCAAACTCCTTACGGCGATTCGACGATCAGGTGACGAGAAGGCGGGGTTACAGGAAAGATTGTCCAATCGTAGCTTCGCTGTGGTTGGGAGTCGCACTTCTTGCCCAATCACGGAGCCAGGCCGCAGTGTGGTCGGAATTTCCAACCTTCCAATAACCAACGAAGGAAGCAAGTTTGGGCGAAGGCGGGCGGTGGCTGAACAGGAGAGGGAAAGTGAACGAGGTTTCGTCTCTGCATCATTGCGAGGAACTTCTCGTGTTCTCAAGACTATTTAAGTTCGCGTTTTAGTGGGAAGTGTTTTAATATTGCTTTCGACGTGTATTTAATTCCGCAAATGTCCCTGTATAAATACAGGGTGACAATGACACCTGGGTATATTCCAGTGAATTTATTAAAGAGTAATGCATTAATATAAATCCAGTCCTAAAATGCAATTTCTTTTAAAAAATATTTAGTGTGTTGCAGGTGTATTGCAAAGTGAATAGACTGAGACATTTTGTATCTGGCATATTTGGGAGATACAAAACAAGCGAAATCAAGATAAGTTTATAGTAACAGAAGCAGAGTAACCAGAGAAGCAGAAATGTGCATAATCATGTACTTGGATTCTAAAACAGTTTAGTGACATTTTTAAATTATAATTTATTTCCTAAATTACTGCAAGAAATTAAGGAAAACCGTACTTAGCCCGAGATGCTTATAATAATGACGATTAAGTATCTATTGCTGGGCGAACGCCATCATGTTGTACGTCACGACGCTCAGGAAAGATCTGACAATCGGCAGGAAACAGCTCCGCCATTTTGGTGTACGGCCACGTAGTTTAATTTAGCTTTCATTTAGAAGTGTTCAGGCAAACTCCATGTGAATACCATAAAATGGTGATTTCATGCGCCGCAGTTAACTGCACGAATCGGCAAGGGAAGGTGGATAAAACCGAAATATCATTCCATAGGTAAGGTCAGTGTATCAGGTTTACGCCGTCGGTACACGAAAAGACAATAGTCTAAAAACGCAGCGTGTCAAAATTCAGAAAGGGGTGCCCCCGTGATTTCCAAGAAGTCTTCCGAATGTATTTGTACCTGCTCTCTGATTCTCTGCATCGCAATTACGAAGCTTAAATTATGAGGCTGCTTGCAGTGCGACAAGTCCCGAAAGGAGATCGCGCTGCAAGTGGTAGCACCGAGACTAGCGCCTGCGTTGTTGGCTTTTATCCGTAACAGGACGCTGGCACAGAATGATTCATTTCGGACAGTAGATGGTGGTATTGCGTTAAAAATATAAAACGTTGTTTTCTCCCCGTTTTAGTGCTCTTGGAAGATTTCTTACCAGCCAATGCGCGTTACACGAGTTCTCCCCTGCAGCAATTTTTCATTTATCGTCACTAACAGCTTATCGATTAGATAAATGGTCTAACTGAATAACATAGATTACAATTTAAATGATGATTTTTAGTCATGGTAAAATGGAAACACCAGTTAGCCTGGGTAAAGAAACTCTTGAAACTCCGAGGTGGTTTAGACTATTTTCTGTGTCACCTGTTTCTGGGTGCTGCATAATATTATATTGCCGTGTGATGAAGGTGTTTTTATCATACTAAGCATATGCATTCAAGAATTCCTTTAACATGTTTTTGAGTATTAGCGTATCAGCTTCCCTGATTAACAAGAGTGATGCATCTGCATCGGCGTGAAAGAATTCGATCACTGCAATGTGATCATTTTCTTTTCCCCTTGAGAAGGAGATTAACGGAGCAGATCTTTCCGTCGATCCGTTCCGTGCGTCGTTTGCCCATGTTTTTTTTTTTTCCTGCTGGGCGTGCAAGGCAGGTGTTGAGGGTGTGTGGGCTCTTCTCAGGTTCCCCATCAACAACGCCCGGCGGCTTGCCAGATGGAGGAGGGCCGTGAGGCGGGAGGGCTGGGTGCCCAACAAGTACTCGTTCCTGTGCAGCAAGCACTTCAGCCCGGACTGCTTCCAGCAGCGCTACGACGACCAGCACCGGCAGCTCAAGGACACCGCCGTGCCCAGCATCTTCGACTTCACCCCGCCGGCCAGGGGCGCGTCCGGCAACGTGCGCAAGAAGGTGCTCAGCCCCGCCCCGGGCCCCGCCGAAGAGGAGGATGAAGAGGAGGAAAAGATACCCTCCGAGAAGCCCAGGCTGAAGGCGGCCTCCAAGAGCCTGAGGAACATTTCTCCCCCAGGCAGAGAGTCCCTGAAGGCAGGCCAGGACACGAACAGACCTCCCCGGACCCCGCAGCAGGCTGTGGGGGAGTGGTCCTTGGGCAGCGCGGAGGAAGTCTTCACGCCCTCCTCCTGCACCTTCATCGACGCCCTGCACTCCTACAGCAGCACCTCCCGCCAGGAGCGTGACACCCGGGCTCGCCAGCGCCGCGGCGGGCAGGGGGGAGGGGCCGGCGGGGCCGGGGCAGCAACGCCCTCCGCGGCCGCCCTGGATCCGCAGGCCCAGCTGCCCCAGGAGGCCGCTGGCTCTGCCGGGCCCCCCCGCTGCCGGGCCACGCGGTACAGCATCTCGGCCAGACGGCAGCAGCTGCGCAGGAGTGCCAGGCAGCTGCGCAGGAGAGCCAGGCAGCTGCGCTCGCTGCTGCAACCGAGGAAGACTGGGCTGCTGGATAAGGCTGGGCCGTCGCTCCCCACAGGTCAGTGTGGGGGAGTGTCCAATAATAATAATTACTCACACTTATATAGCGCTTTTCTGGACACCCCACACAAAGCGCTTTACAGGGTCTCCGCTCCACTTCCACCAATGTGCAGCTCCACCTGGATGATGCGACGGCAGCCATAGTGCACCAGTACACCCACCAGGTATCGGTGGGGAGGAGAACAGGAGGCCAGGGTTAAATTTGGCCAGGCCACCAGGGTAACACTCCTACTCTTTTCAAGAGACGCCCTGGGATTTTTAATGACCACAGAGGGTCAGGACCTCAGTTTTACGTCTCATCTGATGAAGGGCGCCTTTTTACTGTATAGTGTCCCCATTGCTATAGATGGGCATTAGTACCCACACAGACTGCAAAACTACTGCCTTAGTTTTTCCCCAGGAGGTCCCCCCCCCCAGGTACTGGCCAGGCTCAGACCCGCTGAGGGACCGTTGTGCACCATCACTCTTTCAGTCTGTCCCTTTCTTGTGTTGGCCTTCTAATAATAACAGAACTTCTAGAGTGCTTTTCACCCCAAAGGGTCCGGTAGCACTTTACATACAGGAGGGAACCCAGACCCCATGCAAAGGGGCGTTCTCATCTTGTGTGGGCGAGCTTGACCTGTAGGTTATTGTGCATTATTTTTCTTTGGAACAAGTAATAGGTTTATTCCATGCTGAAAAAAAGAAGAAAGAGAACACAACGTTTTGGCCGTGGAGCCTTCTTCAGGTGTGAGAGAGACAGGGCAGTAGGCAAAGGTAAAGTAGCGGGAGAACAAAGGTTGGGAGGGAGGAGGAGTGAGAGGCGGGAGC